CGTGTGTGTGCGAGCGTGTGTGTGCGAACTTATGTGTGTGAACTTGTGTGTGTGAACTTGTGTGTGTGTGAACTTGTGTGTGTGCACGCATGTGTCTGCGTGTGTGAGAACTTCTGTGTGTGTGACTTGTGTGTGCGCGCGCATGTGTGTGTGTGAACTTCTGTGTGTGTGAACTTGTGTGTGTGAACTTGTGTGTGTGAACTTGTGTGTGTGCACGCATGTGTGTGCATGTGTGTGAACTTCTGTGTGTGTGAACTTGTGTGTGTGAACTTGTGTGTTTGTGTGACCTTGGGTGTGAACTTGTGTGTGTGTGAACTTGTGTGTGTGAACTTGTGTGTGTGAACTTAAGTGTGTGAACTTGTGTGTGTGCGCGCCTGTGTGTGTGCATGTGTGTGAACTTGTGTGTGTGAACTTGTGTGTGAACTTGTGTGTGTGTGACCTTGTGTGTGTGAACTTGTGTGTATGAACTTGTGTGTGTATGAACTTGTGTGTGTGAACTGTATGTGAACTTGTGTGTGTGAACGTGTGTGTGAACTTGTGTGTGTGACCTTGTGTGTGAACTTGTGTGTGAACTTGTGTGTGTGAACTTGTGTGTGTGAACGTGTGTGAACGTGTGTGGGTGAACTTATGTGTGTGAACTTGTGTGTGTGCGCGCATGTGTGTGTGTGTGTGTGTGTGTGTGTGTGTGTGTGTGTGTGTGTGTGTGTGTGTGTTGTATACTGGGGCTTACACTCAAGGCCTCAGACTCTCCTTTAGGGTTCTTTTGCTCAAGGCTGGCGCTCTACCAACTTGAGCCACCGCTCAAGTGGTTCATTGTAGATCAGAGTCTCTCAGACTTTCCTGCCCGGGCTGGCTTTAAACCATGATCCTCAGATCTCAGCTTCCTGGGTGCAGCTGGGATTACAGGCGTGAGGCACCAGCACTTGGTCTTAAATCTAGATTTCAAGATGAAGGGATTTATGTATCTAGATCCTAGGAAAAGAAAGGACTAATTTGCGGGGCCTTGAAGGCAGACATGGCTCCAGGGACGGCCCGGGGCTGGAGGCACATCCCCCAGTTCACCGGGGGCCTGGGTTTGGCTACCTGGAATGCAGTCGTTGAGTCAGACCCGGGTCATGGGTGTTGATCGAACCGCAGGAACAGGAATCCCAGGTCGCCCAGGACACGGAAGTAATCAGAGAAACTGAGGACACCCCCTACCCCCACGTGCCCCAGCAAAGTTGTAAGAAGGAAAGGGGTGCTGCAGGGATGTGTGAGGTCACCCTAGAAGCAGTTTGAACATGTAACAGGAGAACCACTTTCAACCAATTTGAGGTATTCCTAGGGAAGTGAGACTATGGGCGAATTAGATATGAATAGAGATTAGGGGCTCTTCCTTACACATAGCGCCGATGTGAACATCTGCCCAGCAAGCATAAAGTCCTGAGTTCAAATCTCAGCACTGCAAAATAAGAACTAGACAGAGGGTAGGTATTGTGATTTATTTGAGACGTTCAAGGGAGAGTTCTCCAAAGTGGGGAGAGTCGCGTGGATTTAAAAGTTGAGAGGCGTTGGAATGGCTGGAAGAGAACCATTCAGATTCAAGGTGGGGGGGAGAGCATGTGCAAAGGCCCAGAGGTAGGAGTGTGCTTGGGTGTTCATAAAGCAACAGGGAGGCCTGTGAGGGTCCAGGGGAGGGAAGGTTGGAGAAGGAGGGAAATAGGATGGGAAGGATTACAAGGCAGACAAGACCTCACTTCATTTGTTGAAAAGTATGACTATGGCTGGTTGCTGGTGGCTCACGCCTGTAATCCTAGCTACTCAGGAGGCTGAGATCTGAGGATCTCAGCTGAAAGCCAGCCTGAGCAGAAAAGATTCCATCTCTTATTAGCTAGCAAAAAGCAGGACTGGAGGCAAGGCTCAAGTGGTGGAGCGCCAACCAAGGAAGTCAAATCCACCACACGAGGCCTGAAGTTCAAATTCTGATCCAAAAAAAAAAAACAACAACAACAGTCCATTCAAATACTCAGTTTTTCAAAACAGTGTTCTGCACTTAGAAGTTTAAAAGCTTTATCTTTCAGAAAGGTCTCTTGCTTTCCTGCCAGAGCACACTAGTGATTTCAGGCCACTTACTTAGTAATTAAGGAGCTTCAAAAGCCAGTGTGAGTCATTAAACACTCGCTGTCTCCTCGGATTTAGTCTTAATTTCAGTCACACCCCTCCTGGTCTTTCAAAAGCATAAACACAATTTGTCAGGGTGGTTAGTTCCTTTCTTTCTTTTGCTTTTTCTTTTTTTTTTGCCAGTCCTAGGGTTTGAACTCTGGGCCTGGGCGCCATGCCAGAGCTCCTTTCTCTCAAGGCTGGAACTCTACCCAGGAAGCGCTGCTTCCAGCTTTTTCTGTGATTAATTGGAGCCTTTCCTTTCCCTGGCTCAGAGCCAAGATCCTCAGATCTCAGCCTCCTGAGTGGCTAGGATGACAGGTGTGAGCCGCCTCATCCGGCATTCCTCCCCTTCTTCCCAGAGGTAAACCCTTGTAACACTCTAACTTCGTCTCTGCATTGATATAAACCTATCCCTCCCGCTACAGAGATCTAGTTATGTAAAATCTCATCTAGCCATGTTCTACGTCCTGGTTTTGTTTTATTCTTTAATAATAAAGAATGTCATATTACAGACATCGTTCTGCACCTTGGATCTCCTCACTTCACCCACATCTCCTTTGTGTTCACCTTCTGTGAATGTCACAAAACACTTGAGGCTGGGTGATATTATGAAGACAAAAGTTGGTCTGGGCTCTCAGCTCTGGAAGTTCAAAGGGCATCACACACACACACACACACACACACACACACACACACACACACACGAATGGAAAGACAACAACCACCTTGGAAGAAAGCCTACTTTAAACCAGGCCTGGGGGTCAATCCCCAGAGACCTCTCTCTGGGCTCCATCTCTCAAAGGCTCCCTTGCCCGTACCACATTGAGGCCCAAGTTTCTACCACAGGACCTTTGCACAGACTCAAGCCACAGCCAAGACAAAGCACAATTGCCCAGCAAGCATGGCAGCTGTTCCTGAAACCCTGAAACCCACAGCCAGAATCGGACCACTTCTCACCAACTCCACGGGGCCTGCCTGCGCCTGCCCTGGCCCACCCTGCCCCACGGCTCATGCCGGACAGTCCCTGCAGAGTGAGTTTCTCAAACTTTCAGTGGGACACACCCAAAAGAATGGAAAGCAGAGAATCTGCAGTCACACCCATGCTCACAACAGAACCAACCTCCTGAGGTCCCCCAAAAGAAGGAGATAGGCAAGCCTGGTGTGCATCCCTGTAATGCCAGCACTCAGGAGGCTGAGAAAGTGTGACCTGACTGCCACACCAACCACAAGAAGGAGGAACACAACTCTGGGTGGAGCGTGGCAGCTCACACCTGTAATCCCAGATCCTCTAGAGGAATACGGCTCCAGGCACAATGTTAGACCTCCACTGGGGAAGGTAAGGGCTTGCCTGTCTGCCCAGCTGGGCAGGAGGCCAGAGGCAGGAGGATGGAGATTTGAGGCCAAATGTTGAGACCTTGACTGAGGAAAACCTAAAGCACAAAAGGGCTGCAGGTGTGGCTCGAGTGGTAGAGCACCTGCCTAGTACCCATGGGGCCCCAGCACCCGGTACTTTCAAATAATCAACATAAAGAAGCCATAAGGACATTAGGCTGGAAGAAAGCTCGGCTTTCCCCCCAAAGGAAATGTTGTTCAATTCTGTTTCCTCAAGCTCCTGGCATGATCTAATTTGGGGGTAAGGGGCTGGCTGGGACTGGGGGAAGGGAGGGGCTGGGAAGGAGGGGAGGGGTCATTACTGTGTAGTGCAGCTGTTTGGAAAAAATGAGAAATGAAAATGAAAAATGAGCCATGATGATTGCAACATCAAAGTACTTAATGCTGAGTTGTGCGCACACAATGGTGAAAATGGAAACTTCCATTTATCTTTATGCATATATGTATATGTGTATGTATATATATTATATTATATGTATTATAAATTTATATATAGCAGGCACTGGTGGCTCATGCCTGTCATCCTAGCTACTCAGGAGGCTGAGATCTGAGGATCAGAGTTCAAAGCCAGCCCGGGGAAGGAAAGTCCATGAGACTCTTATCTCCTATAAACCACCAGAGAACCGGAAGTGGTACTGTGGCTCAAACTGGTAGAGTGCTGCTTTGAGCAAAAAGAACTCAGGGACAGAGCCCAGGTCCTGAGTTCAAGCCCCATGGTAGACAAAAAAAAAAGTGTATATGTGTGTGTGTACACACTCACGCAAGCACATGCGCTTGTGCAGGTCTTGGGGCTTGAACTCAGGACCATGAACTCTCATCTGGCTTTTTCACCGTTCCAACTGGCTTAGAACCATGATCCTCAGATCTCAGCCTCCTGAGTAGCTAAGATTGCAGGCATGAACACCAGAGCTCTTGGCTTTTACCCTCTTCTCCTTGTTCCCCTCCTGTCCAGACACATTGGTCTCTCCCCTACTTCTCAAACCCACTGGGCACAATTCCTACCCCAGGACCTTTGCACATGCTGTTTCCCCTGCCTGATTACATTCAGCTCCCAGAGATCTGCAGAACTGGCCTCCTTCCCTTCTGCAGGTCCTTGTTCCTGGGTCTCCTTTCATACTATGTAAAGTTCAGCCCAGCTCCCTTGGCTCATATTCATCCTCCCTCCCCTTTTTAGCCATTACCTTCTGGAAGATTTCTTACACTGCTTATCCATAGCTACAGACTGAGCACTTGATAATATTTGTCCACGGGTTCTTTCTGCACCGGGCTCCTGTTTTGGCCTGATCTTGTTCTTTCTTCTGCAGCAGAGCGTGTGAAGATGGCAGGGGAGGGTCCGTCCCCTGGTCTGGGGGTTTAGCACATCTCTGCCTCGTCTTAAAGTCACCAAGCCTCCTTCTTGCCCCCAGGATAATCAGTGCAGGGCTTTGCTGAGTGACCTCTTTTCCTGGCCCAGGGGGAAGAGAAGAATGGGAAGTTCCACGCTCCATGGGGGCCAGGTGAGTGCCCAGTACCGGCCTGCCAACATCCTGTGCTGTCTGGAGCTGTGGCTGGATTTCTGGGAACCCCGGGGGAGGGGGGAATGCCAGCTTGGCAGAGGCCGGAGCCAGCTGGCTGGGTGGAGGGAGATGCTGGGTGGAGGATTGAGCTGAGTGGGCGCAGGGCAGAGGCCTCACTGGTGCCCAGGGCGCAGAGAGGAGGCATGGGCTGGAGCCAAGGGGGAACCACAGGGCCTGAGACCATGTCCAGATGCCACAGCGCAAGCTCAGGCCACTCAGGCCCTGCAGGAGAGAGCGCTACACAGCTCTACCTCGTTCATGAGGATTGCGTATTTTAACCGAGTGGGAAAATCCACCTTTTCTATTCCCTAAGTTTTCAACATTGGTTCAAAACTGTAAGGTACAAGGCGGATATCCGTGGCTCAGAAGCTGAGATCTGAGGATGGCAGTTTGAAGCCAGCCGGGGCAGGAAAGCCAGTGAGACTCTTATCTCTGTTTAACCACCAAAAAGCCAAAAGTGGATCTGTGGTGCAAGTGGTAGAGCACCAGCCTTGAAGGAATAAAGCTAAGAACAGTGCCCAGGCCCTGAGTTCAAGCCTCAGAACTGACACAAAAAGAGAAGAGGAAGGAGAAGAAGGAAGAAAATGTAGAGGAGAAGGAGGAGGAGGAGGAAGCGGAAAGCAAGGGAAGGATTGATTGGCATTGTACAAAAAGAAATATACTCTTTACCTGAGTTAGGTAACTGTAACCCTTCTGTATATCACCTTTATAATAACAATAAAAAAATTTAATGTGAAAACAAAAGGAAGAAATAGCCTAAAAGCCAGTGGGTCACACTTATAGTCCTAGCTACTCAGAAGGCTGAGATCTGGAGGATTACAATTTGAGGCCAGGCCAGGCAGAAAAATCCATGAGACCCCCCCCATCTCCAAAATAGCCAGCCAAAACAGCCAGGCTGGAGACATGGCTCAAGTGGTAGAGTGCCAGCTGTGAACAAGAAAAAACTGAGTGAGCATGAGGCCCTGCAGTCAAACCCCAGTACCAGAAGACACACAGACAGCATTTATTCAGATGAGTTCTTGACGACAGACAGCATTTATTCAGATGAGTTCTTGACCCTTCAAATCTGTGTCTTTATCTCTAACATGGAACAAAACCAAGAAACAAAAATTAGATCCTTCCACATAAGATGGCCTAGAGAATAATGGAAGTAGTTATAATGGGGGAGCCATCCCCAGGGAGTCTTGGGAAGGTGGGGAAGAGGGGTATGTGTAACCCCCAAGGTGTCAGCAGGTGAGCCCTGGTGGGGGGAAGGGAGCCTGGGACAGAAAAGCCAGGGACCCACCATGCATCAGCCAGCTATGAGAGACAAGCATGCCCCAGCCAAGAGCCGGGGCCTCCAGGCCTGCAGGTGGCGCTGCAGCCCCAGGACCACCATCACTCCACGGTGGGTTTGAGCCCAGCCTCACCACTTGCACTGGTCAGTTTGTCTTCTTGTCTCAGGACCAGACATTCTATTCTCTCAAGATTCTCAAAGTAGACATTTGTCCCTTCCCTTAACAAATCACTCTCCCCCCCCCCCGCCCCCCAATAGGAATCCCAGAGATTGCAGGGCCTGGCCCTGGAGGAAGTGGAGGATGGGTGAGATCCGTACCTTCAAGACCAGACTTGATTTCTCCTGCAAAAAGGGACCCTCACCCTGCCTGTGTAGCTAGCACTGTGCAACGGAGGCGGGGTGGCAGGGCGGGGGGTGGAGGAGAACACTTTAACATCCAACACCCTAGCTAGGATGAGGCTTGGCTCACCATGAGCCTCCTTTCCTGTTCTCAATTGTCTGTAAGGCCTGGGAATGTGGCTTAGTGGTAGAGCGCTTGCCTAGCATGCATGAAGCCCTGGGTTCGATTCCTCAGTACCACAAAATAAAAGCTGGAAATGGAGCTGTGGCTCAAGTGGTAGAGCGCTAGCCTTGAGCTGAAGAGCTGAGGGACAGCGCCCAGGCCCAGAGTTCAGGCCCCATGACCAGACCTCCCCTCCCCCCAAAAAAAACATGAAGCCCAGGGTTCTTTGGCCTTCAGGTCTGGCTGGATCTAGGCTCAGCTTTTCCTGAGGCTGGCTTCTCTGGCCTCTCGGGGTGACCTGTCAGGCTGCCAGCGCTGGTTCACCCTTCTGCAGCTCAGCCATCTCTGCACACACGGAGCCCCTTTGTCTGTCCCAAGACCCCAGCGCAGGCCTGGGACACACTGGCCAGCTCACGTGCGCATCTCCAAGCCAATCGCTGGGGGTCAAGGAGGGATGGCCATCACTGGCCAGCGCTGGTCAGTGCTCGCTCCATCCGCACCAGGACCTGGCACCGAGGGGTGGGCCGGGGCGGGGCCTGGGGCCTGGGGGGCCGCGACACCCCCCGAGCCTGAGGGATACTCTGGACCCCCGCAGTGCAGTCTCAACAGGACGGTGTGCACGCTCCGGAACTTCACCAGCGCCACGCGGGCCGTGACCGAATGGTACGCGCTGCAGGCCACCAACATCTTCGCCCGGGTGCCGGAGCCCGAGCTGGTGGCCATGGGCTACCCGGCCGAGCGCCTGGTGCTGGCCTGCCTGTTCGGGACCCAGCCCTGCAGCCACCGGTGAGCCGGGCCGGTGGGCGTGGTCAGGGGAAGGGGGCGGGGCCGAGGCG